CTTCCTCCCCTCCTGCCTTTTTAAAAGATAGTTATCTTTTAGAAAAAGCAACTTGGGATATGTGATATAGCTTTTTACCATAAAAGTCACTTGTTTAAAGTTCAGTGGTTTTTAATATTGTCAAAGTCACACAATCATGATTGTACTCATCTAATTTTAGAACATTTTTACTTACCCACAGATGCAGCTTTAAACTTCCTAGTGGTCACTGCAGCCCTGGGCCACCACTAGTCTATTTTTCATCCCTGTAGATTATCATAGTAATAATTACCATAGCAACTTTTACCATAGCAACTGTTCTCATAGTAACTTTTCTTGATAGGCTGTTCTGGCACTGAGTAGGTGCTCAGGTAACGTTTGTTCACTGAAAATAAATGAATGGGAAAAGGAAGAAAACACTCCTAAGTGTGGTATAGGGGAAAGAACATTAGGCTAAAAGCCAGAAGACCTGCACTCTAGTCTTTTATTTATATGGCCAAGGGAAACATCATTTGACCTTACTTTCTCTCAGTTTTCTAATCTACAAGGGAGGGGGTAATAATAGCTCCCTGTCTCAAAAGGTTTCAGAGAGGATCAGAAGAGAAAATGCACCAGAAGTGTTCTGCATGTCCAAGCATGCTGTATCAATGCAAACTGACTGTGTTCCCTCCTCATCCTTTCAAATGCCTGTAAAAATATTTCACTTATCACACCAGCGACTGAGGGGAAAGCAGAGTGTTCCCCTTCCATAGTTTCCCAGACAAAAGTGGAGATAAGCATCTGTTTTAGAATTTGGATTAAAAGCAATTCACTGGAAGAAAACTGATGATGTAACCCGCTCCTATCTTTTGGCTTTCAGGAAATCCTAATCAATGTCTCATCGCCTGTCTCCTGTAGTACATTTCCATTGGTCAGAAAGGGCAGGTTCAGGACTCAGAATAAACTTTTTATTGCCTCATCCAGGAATGGAGAAGAAACTCTACTTCATGGCAATCTTAGTCCTTTTTTTTTTTTTCTTTAGGCTTAGAAGAATTTGGAGGGGGTGTGGAATGTGAGGAAATTTATTTTATGTGAAATTCAGCCTCAGCCGAGAGTCAGGCAGGACAGAGGCAGCATAAGATTATTAAGTACAGCACTGGAATCCGAGGAAGAGGCTTCTGGAAACAGCTGGCTCTGCTGTGAAGGTTATCTGCAGGTACACTGGTAGGGGTCACCTCCTTATCTTCCCCTCTTCTCTTCCAGCCTCCTCCATAGCCACTGATTCCCCACAGCCCAGGGCTTCCTGACCTCCACACTGGTGACATCTCGGGCCACACTTCTGTAATGGCTGAGTGTGTCAGCTTGAGAAGTTTGGTTAAGAGGAGTTTAAGTAAATCTGCTCAGCGCCACCCTAGGGCGGCTCGTGGCCTGGATGGTATAAAGGGGACATGAGGAAGAGGCTCTGCTTCTGTTCCTTCCGAGGAGCTCCAATCTTCACCCGACGTCATCTGCTGGCTTCCGGCGCAGACTCCTCGGCTTCCGGTGTGGATCCTTCAGCTACCGGTGCGGACTCCTCAGCCTCCATAGCAGACCCATCCGCCTCCTGGTACAGAGACATTGCAGTGAGCTCCAGGACTTTGACGGGATCCTAGTCTCCAGTGTGCGGATGGACCCTCTGCCCTCTTCTGTACCCGACTGTGTGGGCGGCCACGGGAAGCTGTCGCGAGCCGGCGACGCAGAGCACTGTCCAGCAGTGCCTCAAACCTGAAAGAGCAGCGGGGTGGAGATGGGGCAGAGAGAAAGGAAGGACGCCAAGGCAAGAGTCTGATCAAGGCGACGTTTATTGCCGGCAAGCACCGGCCTTTTAAAGCAAAAAACTACAAACTATTATGGGATAGGTTTACCATAGTAACTGAAAGGTCACACAGGAAAAGAGAAAACAGGTTCACCAAAACAACCCACCGTGGGTAGTAGTAACCCGGACAACCACACATCTAAAGGTCAGAGACAAGAAACTGTAACTTTCAGGAATTCCACAAAGGAAACACTCTACCTGCTAAACTGGAGAAATTTAACACATACAGAGTTACTAAAGTTAACAATACTTACAACCAATACTCATGATCCCCACAGGAAGCCAATCTTGTAAATTCACAAACATTTTTATATCTTGGGTTGCATCTGTTTCTCGAGTAAATACTGACCGATACACCTTCCTCTGCAGCAAGGAGTCAGTCGGCGTGATAGTGCCTGGCATCAGCCTTGGTCCATTCTAGGGATATCAATAGCGCCCCCTGCCATGCCCCGTTATGACAACTAAAAATATTCCCAGACGTGGCCCGCTCTCTCCTAGGACACAGTCACTCACCAAGGACCCCTGCTCAAGTCGTTTCTCCCTTTACCGGGAGCCCTAAGCATTTACCACGTGGACGACACTCGGTCAGGCCGTTTGTGCACTTGTGTAGGTGCCTCTCCACACGTACATAACCATCCCTTGGGAGTCCCCTGACACACGGGTTCTGACTCAGTAGCTTTGGGAAGGTCTTAAAGTTTTGCATTTCTAACAGTAGGTGTTGCTGCTTCCGGTTCATGGGCCACACTTTGAGAGCAAGACCCATTGTCATAGAGTCCCTGTGCCCTGTGGGAGCTCATTTTACACGAGTCAGAGGGCTCTTAGATGACTCACTGCCTCCACAGCCATGCTCCTCACCAGCAATCTCATTTGACATCGGGCCAACTACCTGGGGTTCTTTCCTTGTCGTCCTGTCTCTGGTAATGAAGCTGTGATCATCGGCTCATCGAGCCTGGGGCCCGGACTTCCTGGGTTCCATGTGCCATTCTTAGTGTAAGCTACTTCTGCCCTGGGTGGATGTCCCGGGCCGGCAGACGTGGATCCCTGCCCCACGCCTCTGTTCCAGCCTGCCCAGGGACCAGCTTGTTCTGCTTGTCTCCTGCCCAGCTGGGGCTGCAGCTGCCCTGGGGCTCCCTTCCCTCCCTACTTCCTGCCCAAGCTGTCTGGACTTCTCACCTCCCCTGTCTTACTTGGTCTTATGTTCTGTCTCATCATTGCATCTTGCATCTCCTTCCCATAACGGGCAGGGACTTTTAGGAATGCCTTAATCCTGAAAGGGCGAAGAGTGTGATGGGTCCCTGCCCAGGCCCACTAGACACAGAGGCTCACACTAGTGGCCGCAACAGCAAAGCAGCTGCTGGTGGGGGCTGCGCTGAGGATCAGTGTGTGCCACAAGGGAGGGGTGAGCGACGGCGAGCGAGGTGGGTCTGCTGAGGGCTCTGCAGTACACCCACCCCCAGTCCGCCTCTTCCCTGAGACAGAGCAGTGCCTCCTGCCCTCCCAATTCCAGGCTCAGAGAAAGTCAGACTGTGCAGGAGGGCAGTGTAGAGCGGAGACTGCACACTCCGTACAGGGCCAGATGGTGAGTGGGTTCAGGGTTGCAGGCCGTGTAGGCTCAGCTGCAGCTGCCCATCTCTGCCTCTGTAGCACAGAAGCAGCCAGAGATGATGTGTAAACCAGTGATCATGGCTGTGTCTCAATAAGAACTTCATTGGTGGACACTGATGTCTGGATTTCACACATTTGTATACTTCTTTCCTTTCTTTTTTCCTTCCTTCTCTCTCTTTCTTTTTTTTTTTTTTTTTTTTTGTCA